GAGAGAGAGAGAACCTACAAAACAAAGGAACCCATACCTGAGAAGAGAGAAAGGGATGGATTTCACAGGCAAGCTACCTTTTTAAGAGGAATCAGCTTCAGCAATATTAAATTCCTGATTCACATAATATTTGATATAGTGATATAGCCATCTTGGGATTCATGAAAAACTGAAGGGTCCAGCAAATAGATCGAGCAGCAGCTTCTCCACCAAGAAGCTACAGTTTTCTTGTTTATTATTGCTGGTGAGAGCAAGTGGATTTCAGCATATAAACCTGGCGAATACGGTGAGATCGAGGGTCATCATAGGTCTTTGCGAGACCTAACAAGGAATGCACATCAAGGGTCATCACAGGCAGATTTGCCGGTCTTTCATTCGAATCGTGAAGGCCCATGCTAACGAGAACCCCTATGTGAAGATCTGTACGGGAAACCACTTACGGCTCCGGTTGCATAGTAACTGGAGAGGGAGATTCTGTAATAGTAATGATCGGCGGAGGCTCCGCCATCTCCTCAGCTATTTTCGTTGGCAATATAATCTTCGCCAGTGGTGGTGACGATGGCTTCGTTGACATCCCACTACGTGCGAAGGAGGTGAAGAGTGAGAGATAAAAGTGGTAGAGAGGAGAGAGAATTGATTTAAAAGAGATTTAATGAAAGGGCAAAATTGACATTTCATCCTTTTCGTTAATATTTAACGATGGTTAAGGATATACTTAATCAATTAACTAAATTATAAGGATAATTTAAGAAATTTATCCTACTTAAAATCATAGGTCAAGACAAAACCTGGCCCAAGGTCCAAAACCAAGCCAGGTCCAAGCACGAGTTATAAGTTATAACTCTTATTATAGGTACTAAGACAACCTAGCCCCAAGCAATTGTGCAAGCATATCCTTTATTATTTATCATCAATGTTTTAGAAGCCTACATAGAAATGGAATCACTTTTTGGTGCAGGTTAGTGGATAAAATATAGGAAAAATAAGTCAACCCATGATATTATAAATTGAATAATAAAAATATAGAAATATATACAAAATATATTTTTTTAAGAAAATTTATAAAAAAGATGGATATGCGTCTAAGTATATATTGATCATAATATTAAGGCTTCATTTGGAAATAGTGCAAATGTCAGTTTAGTGCATATATTCACTATAGTTCAATTTTACAAGTGTTTTGATAATAATGTGTTTGTATAAAGAAAATGACAACAAACCAAATTCCAATGCATGTTTGAATTCAAAATGGAGATCGACTTCAGTACTCACAACTCACACCGTTTGCACAACCTTTTACAACCGTGCATTGGAAATATCTCCATACTTGTATAATTTTTTCATGGGGAGATATTCCCAATACAAGGCTGCAAGGGGTATCGTGAGCACAAAGCTGATTTCTTCAAAATGAGAGAAAAGTGCATCCAAAAAATGGATGCACACTTTTTTTTTATCAAAAAGCCACAACTTTTTAAAAAGAATACAACACTGGATTGGATTGGATCAAATCCAGTCCAATTGACACCCCTACCTGAATACACCTCCAATCCTTGACACGGCATGCCAAGACCATCAATAAGAGGGCTTTAGAATCAACAACATGCAACGGTATCTCCTTAAAGCAAAAACTTTTACAAATAATCTACATGGATCCAGATGCACATTGAGAACATCTCCCCGTGAATTTAAGACAGCTTTTCAGGTGATGATATATTCTAATGTGTGGCCAAATTCCATTTTCTTATGATTTTTTGCTTTTAGGGGATTTGGGCTCAACCAACATCCCTCCTTGATATAAATACATGCAAACGGTTCTATGACTAAGCTTTTTAAACCTTTTATTAGGGTCATGAAGTTGACACCATTTAGAAGGTGCAAGTGTGCAACATGAATTATTTTTCTTATTGCCGGTTTCAAAAACACATCAAAACTACCCGATTTAAAGATAGATTGTTTCTCCAAATAGAATCACAAAAAACATGTTCTTGGTTGTGTATGTGCTTTCTTTATTGAATTTATATTCTTCATCTGACTATTTAATATCATATTCTACATATCACATAATTTTCACACTACAGAGTTTGTTTTTGTTCTAAAAACCATTATTTTAATGGTTCAAAAAACATGTATCGTTTTTTAAACAGAATCAACTTGTTTTTGTCTTTCAAAACAGAGCTCAAGAATATGCCTTTTTTTTCCTGATGTGACAATTTCAAAGAGAAATGAAAACAATATCATTCATGTTGTAGAACACTCCCTTAATCTACTTTTTGATGATTGATTTATTCTAAATCAGACATTATAAAACACATGGAAGCAAAGAAGCACATTGATCTGGCTATCTATTGAACCAGGTCAACTATATGGTTGCAAAGATATACATTAATCTTTTTTTTTTTCTCTCTTTCAGTAAAGAAAGATCTACATTGATCAAGACTACCCACACATGCTCATTCTGTTAACTATTCTATTGGTTGGTGGTTCTTCGATCATTTGAAAAAAGCCATTAGTCATGCATTTTGTTTGTTAGCTCAAAACCCATCTGCAGATATTTTTTAGCCTCAAAATTCACTCCTTGTGAAGGGGGAACCACCATATATGGGGAATAAAACCTATGAAAGGGGCATTCGAGTTCGGATCTGCTGATCACGATACGTTGCTGGCCATGCACATCCTGCCGCACATCAGGAATATTGGTTGTACTTTGAAACACCAATATCCTGAAGCATAGTTGGATGCGCATGGCCAACAATATGTAAAAACCTTATCTCGCTCAGAAATAAAAGGTAAAATACTTAAAATGACCCCTAAGTTCTAAGAAATTGATTAAAACTTATCCTACCGTTTGAAAAATCCCTTGAAGTATTCCCAATTTTCTTGACAATTGGCATTGTCATTAAATATTAACAAAAATATTGAAATATCAATTTTACCCTTCCATTAAGTAAAACTCCTATTTATCTTCCTCCACTTTTTTCATCCTCCTTTTACCACTGAACATAAGCTCCTCCCCTCTCTCTCTCTTTTTCTTCTTCTTCCTCCATATCCTCTTTCTCCCTTTACCTTTTTTATAATATGCCTTTGTTCTTCTCTTCATCATTACTTTATTCTGGCCTAACCTCCGTTTTTTCAGTTTAGCCTGGCACAACCTTAAAAAATGGGTATGTTTAAGAAAGGCTCCAACAGAAAACTCTAATTCAAAAGCATATTACAGAAAGATAGAATTAAATCTTAATACCTAACTTTCATACCCAATTGCAAAGAGAGAAAGAGAGAGCAACGCAACTATCAATATCGAAAATTATAAAAGGTTAAACAAGTTAAAACATAAAAAACAAAGACCTAAAAACAAAATTCCAACCAATATATCATTACGCTACTTGAATGTAGATATATAGCCACGACTATAATTTATAACCCAAATATATAGGACTATTTTGGATTGTACTACCCTATTTTTGTCTTATCCTTATTTCAACCAATTTACCTTTATAACCAACACCCATTAGTGATTTAAATCACGAAACAACTACCGTCAATTCTACAAAGCAATGTCCTCTCATCTTTGGGTCCAAAAGGCATCATATCTGAAATCTGAAGTGCTTTTGACGATGCCAACCAATTAATCAGTTGTACTTCAACAAAACCAAGTGTTTCTACTGTACAAGATGCAGTCTTTTGTGTATAAACCAGGATAGCCGGTGTTATACCTGTACTGTACCTAAACCAGGATTCTTGTCTCATCCAATTAGATTGGTTGCACTCTTGAAATCGACAGCTCTATCATAACTAAAATGAGGGAGTTATCAAAGTCTTTGATTCTTATTATCTATCTATCTATCTATCTATCCATCTATGAACCAGTCTTAGATTCTTAAGAACTTCTTACATTTTTCTCTTATCTCATCTATACGGCTGTTATTTACGAAGACTAGTAGTAATAATGCATTCTAAATGATCATCATTTCTGTGAATTTATCTCACTTAAATCTCTAAAACCTCTTTATTTAGTGGTGGTAAATGGCAATGGTGGGAGTATGTCAAATATTGGTTATCAGAGACACTCAATATACAGGTAAAGGTGTTGAAAATTTTAACCCATTGGGTTTTATTTTGAAAACTTGTAGAACAATGCAGGACAAAATGGACTACAATAAGAAAGTTTTAATCCAATTTTTAAAACTTATGGGTAGTATTTTACCCCTCAGATAACCTATACGGCTATACAGCAGAGCAGATCACCAACTCATAATAAACAAGTGAACTGCGAAAACATAAGCAAGAAAAACTTATCTAACGCGCACGGACGGATACCAGTACCGTCTTCCGTAATAAGCAATTGGAGTTGACGAGGAAACTCCTCCCGGTGATAGAAAAAAACCTTTCTCACCTCTATCACAGCTTAATTTAGATGGTTTGTTTCTCTAATCAACCTCGATGATATCTTGGATGTCTCAGATACGCTCGTACCAATAACTTTTCGACAAGATTGGAGAGTATATCATGTAAAACCTTGGAGTCTGTCTCTACGACCTTGCTAATACCGAGAGACCTTGCCATATCCAAACCGTCGAGGAGAGCAAAAGCTTCTGAGTTCTGCCATTACATTGGTATTCTCCCCATGATGATTATAGAAGGCCCCTTGGAATCCCACCACCACCACCACCAGTGGGACCTGAGTTGCCCCTCTGAAAGCTACATCAACATTTAACTTCATGGAGCATGACTTCACATGTTCGATGTAGAGAATTTGTGAACCAAGATAGCAAGCAAGCAAAGGAAAAGCATATACAAGCTAACTAATATATATTTAGAACTAACTTGATTATAGAGGCTTTCACCAGAAAAACTCGATGTGCATAAAATGAAGCCGTTCATGAGGAAAACTTGGCAGTCTCATTACTTCACCCAAAACCACCTCACTTATTTAGAGCAGTCGACGCATATAATACACAAAACCTTCACTTTACAAGAAATAAAAAAACTCATTCTTTTGCTTTTCAAATTTCCATTCGAGGAGCCTATAAATGCCAAAGGGAAAGGTAAAAGAATATAAAAGATAGGGAAACAAAGAGAGAGCAAAGGGCCAAAAAACAAAACCCTATCTGTACAGTATACTATACAAATGGTATAAAATGAGGCCGTGTAGCTACTCAGTTGTGGCAGAAGGCCTTCTTCATGCCTTTTATTGTGGCAGCGGATCATGCTTGCCATTTGAGTCAGGTGTGATTGATGGAGGGAGTCTCGCAAGAGCTGGTTGAACCGGTGGGGCAGTAAGCGCATAGGTGAGTCTGGATGAGGAACTCTCAATGAAACCTGCAACTCCAGCCGCAGCAGATTGAGCATTGGAAGGAAGGAAAAGGTCATGCTTCTGGTCCTTGTATGCACTCCAAACCTGGGGAAAATAAAGGTAGTCAGTGGTTGATATGTAGATTCCAACAGGAGAAACCTTGAAAACATTATGAGTTCCTTTTTCCTCTCCTGTCACGAGCAAAGTTTGCAGTCTACAGAGAGCCCAGTTATTTTGTAGGCTTTCTTATGATTATGTGCAGAACTAAAGGGCAAAAGAAAACATTAACAACTCTGACCCAGAGTGCTTTTTGGAGAAAAACGAGCTATATCTAGATCTAAGTTTTTGTTAATATTCAGATTCAAATTGAAACTTATCTATTAGCTTTATATCAGATTTGTATCAAATTTAGATTTCAGCAAGACATTTTATAGCATTAATAAATTAAACTAAATGTGGTCAAAATAATATATGCTATTAACAAAATGAACTGAAATGATACTGATATTGTATATTATGGACAGAATGAATTGAAATTAACTTTAATGAAACTTGAATTTATAACTCTGACTCATAGTAAAAAAATACAACATTTGAACCAAATCCACTCATTAGTAAAAAAAATACAACATTTGAACCAAATTCACACACACACACACACACACACATGCACACACACTGATAATGATCAAATCTGAAGTTGTTTATGATCAGATACGAAATGTCAGCTCTTGTTTAGTTTCATTGGTGTCTTTGATCTCCCTCTAGATAGACTTGTTATAGTTTGATCTCCCTATTCTAGTTTTTCTTTTGTTTTCTCTTCTTGAATTAACTTAGATTTGTTACTCACAAACAAAGATTACTAAAAGATGTATAATTTAAGTATATATAAGCATGTATGTTTAAATTGAATTGAATGAGATCATATAGAATTGGATAGGGATGGATCCATATTCGATCCAATTATAAATGGGATTGAATTTGGACAAATGGATACTAATTGCAGTTTTGCACCCCTAGGAAAACTATCTTTATAAATAATTCTGAATTTAAGAATCATATTTTTTTTGATAAATAGATAAATCAGCCCATTCAAGCATTAACTATCATTCAGCAAAAGACCATAGATGCAAAAATATATAAAAACACAACTTTGATAAAGATGGGTTTAGACAGTATTAATTTCTTGATATTTAAGTACTTCTCTTTGAGAGTGCAGCAGGATTTGCCACTTATATAGGTTCATTTCTTATTCAAAAGAAAAGAAATGTTTCCACCAATTAAAAAAATATCCGATTTAAACTACATTGCACAAGAAGGGATGAACATATAGAGCCCATCTGCAAACAAGGCACAAGCAAAAAGAAAAATAACCAAAAAGACCAGAATGTACCAAAGGGAAAGCAGAAGAAACCAGTAGCTGTAAAGGGGGTTTAGTGTGAAAACATTACTGAGTGCCAACAGGACCCAAAATATCATGTCCTAACAACTAACAATATCTTTCAAGTGAGACCATTCAAAATTTCTTATGACACACAGAATCCTTCCTATAAAATGAAATCAAGGACATGAACAGAGAACCCTTCAAATTGGGAAAAAAAAGGGAAAATGACATATATAAAGAAATAAATACAGGCCAAACTTACATCAGAAGCATTTAATATATCGCGAACTTTAGTACAATGAGCCCCTTCTGTTGCAAATGCATGCAAGACCTGGAGCATGGATTCGGAAATTAAATAAGAGTTGTGATACAAACTAACAAGTCGAACTTTCAAAAGAAATGTACCTAAAACATGCTTGATCAGCATGGAATGCCATTTTAATGAATTTTACTAATAAGGAAAACCTAATGATGCATAATGTCATGCTGAAAATCATACATGCTACATGGTTTCTTGCAATTCTTTCCTTCATTTACTCCCTTTTTCGATCATTGTTTCTTGGAGAGAGAATCATCTTTTCAACATACTGAAAGTAGTCACCAAGTCAGGACCCATCTTGACCAAGTACAAGATGGTGTCGCACCACCACAATCGCCATTGCTTCGCATCACTAAAGCACGTATTAAGGCTTCAAAGAAACTTCATTATTCATCTATAAACCTTGTTTACAAAATATGGGCCCATAAAAAAATTCATGATTCAAAGGGGTCAATACAATTTTTTCATTCCCAACAAAAAATTAGAAAAATTAGTGTTTCATGTGTCCTTTCACGAAGTTTTTTGGGGTTTCTTTTTTTGGATTATTTAGATCTAATTGGGTGGAGCCAAGAACACCAGGAGATATTTTTGCTCGTTGGCCAACTATGAGAGGAAACATCAAGGCAAAGATAGTTTGGAGCTGCATTCCTTTTGTCATATGCTGGGACGCATGTAAGGAAAGAGACAGAAGGACCTTTGAAAACAAGACTCGTAAAAGGGAACAAACCACTCTTACTATGCGGAAAAAAAGGACAATGGACTGGATTCTTAGTCTTCCAGAATTTGAAGATGTATCAATGGAAGACCTTGGTGCTGGTTTGTTGGACTCCCCTTGAATTGGAGTAAGGCTGATGGTTTTGTGTCTGTTTTTTTTTTCTTTGATGTATAATCTTCTTGAGTAATATGTAGAACTTTATATGGTGATTTCTCATCACCCTAGTTGATCTGTTGATGTACTCCTTTTCTTTCTTAATAAAATTTTCTTTTTATTTATTACCAAAAACAAGTTCAATTTTGACTGAAGTCATAAATAATGAATTTGTAATATTTAAGTTGATGCAAGATTGAATAATGGTAAAAAACATCTAAATGTCAGGTAAACAATGTAGGAACTACTCAACAACTAAAGGAATACAGAAGGAAATTCGTCTAAAGAACTCAGCCCCAAGAATAACTTATGGAACCAAAATAGTGATAATAGATAGGGATAGCAATAAGATGGATTAAATGTATAACCTGTCCCACCCTGACCCTACAAACACCTAAACCAGAGATGAGGTAGGATTGGCTTTAGAGTGGCTTCCTAGTTATGCTTGAGTAAGTATCAGGTTTCAGTAACTCCAACCTGTCATGTTGTATCCATCATCATCATCAAGCCTTACCTCAACCATGTGGGTTCGGCTACAAGAAACCTGTTTCACCCTAAACATGAGCATGAAAAGACGAATAAGGATCTATGTTTGTGAGTGTGGCAAAAGTTTTAGTGCTGGCTGCCAACCTGGTGCAACCCTCCTTTGTCCAGTCTTGGGACCGGCTGTGTAAGACAATACCTTTAATTTTGAGGAAGACAATACCATCTAATTCCATCTTTATGGATGTGTTTCTTTCTTATTTCCTATCAAGCCAAACATATCCTTTTTTTTTGGTAAAAAAAGTGATTGAGAAAATTCTTAGGTCAAACAAAGAGGATGTGCATGAGCATACAAAACATTTTATGCAGCCTATGGAGGTTCTTTCAGGAAAAGGATGATAAAACAATATAATGAAGTTTTAACTATGGTGAGCTTACTTCGAAGGAAGCTCAAAACCTCTTACAGAAGAAGAGAAGAATATAATTATCTTGATCAATGCCTGACTTATTCCTCCTCTCAGGGCTTTATCTAGGTAATACATCAGATCAGGGTTCAGTTATAATGGGATATTCCATTTTAACTAACAATCTGATGTGGCTCTTTGGTGTAGATGTGCTTCAGAGGTAGAATAATGTGACGCCTATCAGGCTCAGGTGGGTTGCTAGCTCAAGCATCAATGGGCCTGGTCTGCAGGGCTTGTGTGAGCTTGGTCTGGTTCCTATTGGCTCCTCCCCCCTTGAGATTAACCATGAAGGTTAAGATGTGGAAACTCCAGTGGCAACCCAATCCAAACTACTAAGGCCTCTTCAATCACCACCTTGACCTGTTTCACCCACCTGGAGCCAACGAGCTCGAGAAGTCTGGAGGCTAACATCTGCTGTGAAGTCAGGAAGAGTGGAATGACTGATGTCAGCATGGCCCAATTGCTTCTTCAAAAGTGAAAAATGAAAGATAGGGTGGAGCTTGGAGGAAGCTAGAAGCTATTTCTTCTAGCCGACTGAGTGTATCCTTTCTGTATTTGGAAAGGTCCAAAATATCTAGGGCTGAACTTCTGCAATGCTCATCATGCAACAGAGGCTTGTCTGTAAGTCTGTAAGCATAAGTAGACCAGGTCGCCCACTTGGAATTCAACTGAACAATGCTTCTTATTGTACCCAACCTTCATTTGTTGTTGAGCCTGGAGCAAGTTAACCTTGAGTTCCTGCAAGATCTGATCTCTGTCAATGAGCAGCTCCTTAATTGAGGCTACAGCAGTGGAACTAGGTTCATAAGGAAGAATAGGTGGTGGTTCTTGCCTGTAGAGAGCCTGAAAGGTGTAATACCCATAGATATGCAAAATGTAGTATTATACCAAATGCTGGTCCAAAGGAGCCATTTCAACCATTAGTGAGGGCGATTAGAAGCAAAGCAACGTAGATAGGTTTCAAGGCACTACTTAAGCACCTTGTTATAGCCGTTAGTCTGCGGATAGTAGCTGGTAGGATGCTTCAGCTTGGTGTCCTGGAGTCTGAAGTATTCCTGCCAGAAATGGCTCATGAAGATGGGATCCCGATTAGAAATGATAGGGCTAGGAGTCCCATGAAGTTTGGTTGTCTTGTATGAAAATTTCAGCAACTTGAGCAGCATTGAAAGGGTGACAAAGGGCAGAGAAATGGTCATACTTGCTCAAGCGGTCAACTATGACCATAATCACACGCTTATCAGAAAGAGGAGGTCCAGTAATAAAGTCCATAAAGACCTGCTCCCAAACTTGGTCTGAATTTGGAGTGGTTGCTGCAGACCAGCCGGTTTTTTAGTAACATATTTATACTGCTGGCAAATGTGACATTGCAGCACAAACTGCCGCACTCCTTTCTTGAGTCCCTTCCAGCAGTAATGGGACGATAGCTGCTTGTAAGTCCACAGAACGCCGAAGTGGCCACCGATAGGCATCTCATGATATAGCCAGAACTCAGGCATGAACACTGGTGTGGAAGGAATGACCAAGTGTCTCTTGTAGAATAGTATATCACCAATTACTATATAGCCTGTAGTGAGTGTAGGGTCCCTGCCCCAATTAGATCTAATCTGTTCAAGCTCAACACTTTGTCGGGCCTCAAGCCTGATTTGTTCCAGGAATTAGTAGTTGGGCTTGGACTTGGCAATACTAGATAGTTCAGCCTGATTTGTTACCACAGCCTTGTTAAAGGCTCCTGGTTTATATTCAACATTGTAGTCGAAACCCAAGTTGGGCATCTTTCAGGATACACTGCTACAAAAGGAATCTTAGGCTTCGTTGATCCGTAAAGATAGTGAACTTTCGGCACAACAAAATGGGCGCCACTTGAGAACTGCAAAAACCAGCACCATCAATTCCACTTGCATAGACTTAGCCTAGGCTTGGGGAGACAAGGCCTGGCTGAAAATAAGCTATGGGCCTCCCTTCCTGCATTAAGAATGCTCCTAGGCACATTCCAGAGGTGTTAGGACTCACACCAGGCCCATAGGCCACTCGCCTATCAGTCTATCACGTGCGACTTACCCACCATTAAGCAGGTCTACAATCGCAGGGCACATGCTGCACCTCTCCTGAAATGATTCCAGGCACATGATCCCAGGCATAGGACAGAATATCCCATGTAATGACCTGAGCAGTGCACACGTAACTAACTGAGCTAACTATGAAAGCTCCTATCAGTTTGTAATAAGGGATATCAGAAAAACCCTATTCGAACATCTCTCTTTTCAATTTTCTGGAGGTCGGTTCCCCTCGAAGGAACCCTGAGATAGGAAGTAACCTATCTGGTATCAGAGTGAAGGTTTCATGGCAAACACCCAAGCCTCTGCGATGGAGACGGAGGTGAATCAAGTGGAAGCAGAGCTTCAGAATGTGAACACTAACCTGAAGGACATTAAAGAAGCCTTATCGGTGGTGTTGTCTAAAGGTCGATCAGATGTCCCAAGGCAGGAACAAGGATGGTGAACAGGAGGAATCGAGTGCCAATAACGACCGCCGACCTAGGGTGATAACCGGTAAGTCCATCAAAATGGTCTTCATAACTTTTATCGGCGATGATCCAATCTCTTGGATCTTTCAAGTGGAGCGGTGCTTTGATTACAATGAAGTACCTGGATCTGATAGGGTGCCTTTAGCCTCGATTCACTTTGAAGGGAAGGCGGTTCTGTGGTACCAGTGGTATCATCGCTCCCATCCCCGGGTGACTTGGACTGACTTGACTGATGCAGTCATAACTCAATTTGGTCCATCTGGGTTCATGGACTACAATGATACCTTGTCTAAACTCGGGCTAACTGGGTCGGTGAGGAAGTACTAGGTGGAGTTTGAGCGCCTAGCTACTCGCGTCCAGGGGTGGCCAGAGAAGGCCTTAGTTGGCTGTTTTGTTGGGGGGTTGAAAGAGGAGATAAGGTTGGAAGTGAAGGCCATGTTACCAGTTATGGTGATGGTGACAACTGGGTTAGCCCAATTATAGGAAGAGAAGTTGAACCGAGTTAGGAGGCTAGGCCGGTCAGGTGGACCAATTAATAGGGACCCGAGCGGAGTTACTAAGCAGGATGGGCTTCTGGAGTTCTGGGGAAGCCCAATATCAGCAACAACTTGGTTGGGCCTAACGTTCCATTTAAGAGATTGACGCGGGCGAGATGTTGGCTAGAAGGGAGAAG